TCTTTGTTGGAAACTTATATTTACTGATACCTTCTATTGCTGGGCTCTTTAATACTATTACTTCATTTGATAAGAGGAATAAAAGTATATGTACATTTGTTTTCTGGTTTTACCTATATGTTAATAGATAATAATTTTGAAAATCACTAGTCCAATTACATGATAAATTTAAGATAAAAATTAAACTAAGTGATTTAAAGTCTTGGGTTTTTAAGAAATCTAGATTGGCTCTTCTGCTTTGACAAATCCAACAGCCCCTCAAAATTTCCTCTTTCTTAAGCCAGCAACCATTAAGTTACTCTTAAACCCACACTAAGTACTATTTAACACAAGGGACAGAAAGCCAGATAGGTCTGGTTTTTGGTATCAGTAGTGTCTTTGTTGTGGACAAATGTCAGTTTCCAAATTCTTACTACACTGTACAGACTTGTGTACCTCAGGCAACTTTATAGCTCAAACCCCACTCCTTGGGGACTTGTAGCAACTTGTAAATCCATGAGGAATTTTTCAGCAAAGTTCTATTTCTTAGTTTATTCATGGATTAGAGTTGTAAGAGTAGATTCATTCTAAGGCCCTAATGAGCAGGGCTTTTTTTGTTTGTTTTTTTTCTTTCACACTGAAAAGAACACTTGCTTCTCTTTTTCCAACATTCAGCTTATGATGGTTTTAAAATTTATGTTCTCAATTTTATCCCCCATTGACTTTGAAATCTTAGAAAATACTCGCCATGGTTCTTCCCAGAATCCAGCACTATTCAAAGCCTTTCTTTATGTAGCATTAGAAAATGGAGACCCACAAAACTATTTCACATGAGCCTGTTGCTCTGGTTTACTTCTAGGAACATTGGCTCTGCTCTTCCGACTAACCAGAAGTCATGACAGTGGTCTAATAACTGAGTGATGCCTGTTATTAGAAGCAGAGAACATGAAGAGGATTTTCACGCCAAGTTTCTCAGAGTTGGACTAAAGGTAAGTTCTTTTTTCTTTCACTGGAAAAGATTTGATCTAGATTAAAACAATAACAACAACAAAACTTCCAAATAATAGATGTCTTTGGAATGAGGTTCATAGAAACAAGATGGGAAGTATTAATCCCATTGCCCACTTGGCTGCATGTGCCAGCATCATGTCTGCAATTGGTCTGGGGCATTTCATTGATTTCTATGGAGCCATCCATATATGGGCTTTTAAACTTTCTATTTTGAGCTAAATTTTCTTTTAGTCTTCGATATTTTCTCATTTCTGTTCCATTATTCCTAAACTTAATTCTTTTCTGCTTCATTTCAGTTCAAATACATTTCAAGGGTATCTTCTTCTTTGGGGGTCATAGGACATAAAAAACAAGCTGAAACATTCCTTAGAGTTCACCCACTATGATATCTTTACTTTACAAATGAGGAAAATGAAGCATAGGGAAAGGAAGGAAATTGTTGGTCACAACTTAAGAGGATTTTAGCTCTCCTGAGTTCTGATTCAGCCACCAGACCAAAAAGGCAATATAATTTGAAGCAGAGATCAGAATAAAGGCACATGGCTGGATAGTCTGTTCCTTCACTCATTGAGCCAGTCAGTTGCATACTCAGTCATGTTTGTCTCTTTGTGACCCCATGGACTGTTTTCTGCCAGGCTTCTCTGTCCATGTAATTTTCTAGGCAAGAATACTGAAGTGGGTTGTCATTTCCTACTCTAGGGTCTTCCCAACTCAGGGATCAAACCCAAGTCTCTTGCATCTCCTGTATTAGCAGGCAAATTCTTTACCACCTGGGAATCCTCTGGTTCCCTCACTATATGACCCTGTGTTAGCTTTCTGTGCTGTAACAAATCTCATCATAGTATCTTAAAACAATGTACATTTACCTTGTCACTATTTATATATATAAATATATATATATATATAATATACTATTTGTATCTTACTATTTCTATGGGTCAAGAATATATATCAAGGTTTAGCTGGATTCTCTGGATTCATGCTGTCATAATCAAAGTATTGGCCAGGTTGTGTTCTCATCTGGAGGCCTGACAAGAGAAATAACCTCTTCCGAGCTCTCTCAAATTGTTGGTAGAAGTTATTTCCTTGTGACTGTGAGACTGAGGCCCTACCTTCCTTCTGACTGTTGCATAGAGGCTATCCTCAGCTCCTAGAGTCTATCTTCACCCCTTTGATATGCAGGGTTTCTATCATGGCCTCTTATCTCTTCAAAGCCAGGAAGGGAGGAAGTCTAGAAAGCTAGAGTCTTATATAATTTAACAATCAAGTGGAGACATTGCATCACTACTGCCATATTCTAATGCTTAGAAACAACTCACAAGTAGTGCCCAAATTCAATGGGAGAGGATTATACAAGGGCGTGAATACCAGAAGAGGAACGTTGTGGGGTTCACTTTACAGTCTGTCCACTACAATCCCAAATGATTTGCTTGGGCTGGTATAGGAATAAATTCCACATGAGCAATATTATCACTGTGGATCACTGTCAACTCGCAAACATGCTTCTGTGGTGTGTCTCCACAGAACAGACACAACATTTATCTCATTCAATGATTTTATTCTTTTTACAAATGACCCCATGAAGATACAAATGATAAGCTTTTCAAATCTATGGGTGAAAGGGACAAGAGTGTTAGCAAATAATCTGACACAATTATGGCCCATTTTTATTTTGATGCTAGTGTAATGGGAATAGTATTTTTCATTTATTTTAACATTTAACATTATTTAACATAATTTTGGTGTGTGACCTCCTGTTTCTCTAGAGGTACCATTTGCTTTGGGGAAAATTAGAATTTTTGAAGCAGGGGTGCAAGGGCAAAAGTGATGCTAAATTTATAAATTCCAAAATGGAAGTTTTGAGTTTACAGATTGACAATATTTTGAAAGGGGCTTTGGTGAGATAATAGATTGTCTAAGCTTCTTTAGCTCCCAAGAACTTTTTCATTACTCCAATAAGAAACCCTATACCTATTTGCAAGCACCTCCTTTCTCCCCCAGCTCCTGGCAACCCTACTTTTGTCTCTAAAGGTTTGCCTATTTTGGACTTACATAAAAAAGAAATGATAGAACATGTGGTCTTTGTTACTGGGTTCTTTCACTTAGCATAGTAGTCGAGGTTTACCCATGCGGTAACATGGGTCAGAAGTTCATTCATTTTCATTGCCAAACAATACTCCCTTGTAAGACAGGCCATGTTTGACTTATCCATTCTTCAATTGATGGACATTTGGGTTGTTTCTGTTTTTTGGCTATTATGGATAAAGCAGCTTGAACATTGCTGAACATATTTTTGCATGGATATAGGTTTAATTCCTCCTGGATATATAACTAGGAGTTCGGTTGCTCCTCTTCAAGCTTTGGTGTTAGATCATTGAGTTTTATTATAACTAACAGGGCAGAGGGAACTTAGGTATGAGGTTTTGGAAGCCTCTTCCATTAAAAAAGGAAGGAGAGCTCATCCCTTGCAACCTCAGAGGGCTGTGGGAAGGAGGAAAGAGCTAGAATAGGATACAGAGGTCAGATGTGAGGGCCTTGGGGACTGTATTCAAAGCCCAAAATTCAAGGGCTGCACAAAAATCCAGATAAGTATAGGGAAATCAAGTCATTTTGGGATGATTGGTCAGTTTCCTTAAAGGAAGCTCCAATACTTTGGTCACCTGATGTGAACAGCTGACTCATTGGAAAGGCCCTGATGCTAAGGAGGATTGAAGGCAGGAGGAGAAGGGGGCAACAGAGGATGAGATGGTTGGATGGCATCACTGACTCAGTGGACATGAGTTTGAGCAAATTCTGGGAGAGGGTGAAGGACAGGGAAGCCTGGCATGCTGCAGTCCATGGGGTCGCAAAGAGACTTAGTGACTGAACAACAGCATGCCTGAGGTAATTTGCAAAATTCTGGAACTGTCCTGGCAATGGGCTGAGGAGCTGTAATTTGTAACGTGGGGTAACCCTGACAGAGAGGTTTACCGAAGGATCAGACACACCACACTGGTCTCCTATAATCTGTTCAGGTCATTTTCAGAGCCCAGATATTCTCCCATGCCCCAAAGAGGGCACATGGAGCCTCTGAGAAGGCTTAAAACAGAAGTTCACAGTGACAATGTTAGACCTCACCTAAGCCCTGTGATCCTGAAAAACAAGTGAAGGACAAGAAATCTCCTATCTTTTTGCGTTCTAGGAAAGGGATCGCTGCAAACACTCTCCCTCATAGGACCTAGCAAAGACTGTTGTTGTTGTTATTGTTGTTTTTTAGTTGTGGCATGTGGGGCCTAGTTCCCCATCCAGAGATTGAACCTGGACCCCTGAATTGGGAGCAGAGTCTTAGCCACTGGACCCCAAAAAGACTCTGATGCTACCTGGTTTACATGCAACAAGACTAGACACACACTCTCCACAGTCTCATTTTGCCTCATAAAGGATCAGCTAAACTGCCTGTGTCTACAGATCAAGGAACAAAATAACTTGTTAAGCAACCTTTAGTTAGAGTTCGGATTCTCTCCTTCCTTCAGGTCTCTGGACGTTGGCCAGCCCTCAGCCTGAGCCAGCAAACAACCCCTCCTGAGAATAGGCTGGCCTCAGGGTATAATAACATTCTCTGCTCGGCTATTCCCCCACACCACCCTGTCATCCAGTTCTTTTTAGCCTTATTTACTCCTGCCTATAAAAGAAAAATTCTTGCTGAACTCTTTTTTTTTTTTTGCTGAACTCTTGAGAGGCTTGCAGACTTACAGTCAAAAAGTCCTCCTGTTGCAACAGCCCCTTCTCCTGCAATAGACCTTCCCCCTTTTGCAACAATCCTTTTGGATAAAGTCTCCTCTTACTAAGTCTGGAATTGTTTTTATTTGACAACAGCAAATGGCAAGTTTGTGACCAGGGGCAAAAGGCTACCAATCCGGCTGGGAATGCCAGTGTGGTAACTTCAGGCTCAGTTGGGGCAATCGACCTCTCAGGGATGACACTGGACAAGCTTTTTCCTTGGTACGGACCAGTGGGAACCAGAGAGTGCCATGTGGACTTGGGGCCGCTTTTCCATCATCATAAAGCCTCATGATTCCTTCAGCCAGTGGGCATCTGGGAGAAAAGGGACTGGAGTGCCCCCAAGGACTGAAAATTTATTCAAAAGAACCGAGTCAGTTTCTTCTGGCTTAAAAATCTTTTTTAATGAGACATCATTACCGGAAAATTTATTTTTTTTTCTTGCTACCCAGCAGGGTCTTATAAGGGTGACTAGCTCTGTTACCAAACATTTACAAAAGCTGCATTTTCTTAGCACAACTGAAGGTAGTGTGTGCAAATTTGTGACGGGCTACACTAGAATTATGAATCACATAAAACCAGATGATGTTCCACAGCAGTAAATGTAAGATCCTGCCTTTGAATTCAAAAATACGTAAGTACAGGATGCGAATATTTGGTTTAGGAGCTACACGGCAACACTCAGGAAGAAAAAATTAGGGGTTGTATTAGTCAGGAATTTTTTGGTTGCAACTTACAGAAGCCCAGTTGGAATTAGGCAAAAGGGCAGAGAGGGAATTTATCGGCTCTCAGACTCCAAGAACAACCAAACTGAAGGAAGGGAGGCAGCTGGGTTTCAGGAATAAATGGGGCAAGGGACGTGAGAAATCCAGGGCTCTCTACATTCTAGTCTTGGCTTCTCTTTGGGTGGCGCTCTCCTTTGGGTTTTCATCTCTCTCACTACAGACCATCCTTTTGTATTGAGCAGGGTCATGGCCCTGAAATGCTTAAAAATCTTCTGACTTTTGCTATTGAACTTGAGAGAGGCTCAGAAAAATTCTGTGGAAGCTTTCTGATAGAAAACCTGCTAAGGTCTCTCCTGTAACCACGGAAATGGAATCATATTTAAAAAGGGCAGTTCTCAAAAGAGCCATTTAAATCCCCAAATTTCAAGAATTAAAGGGAGTTTCTGGATAAATAGCCCCCTATAGTCCACGCATAAGTGTGTGGTCAACGTTGTTAATGTTAAGCCAGAGAGAGAACGTGTTTTTTTCAGTGAAGTTGATGGGGCCGGAGGCTGGGTCTATGGGTGTGGAGTTTCAGGTGCTGAGCTCAATGTACCTGGAGGCGGGGGTTCTGTTATGCGGGCTGTGCTCAGAAGAGGTTATAGGTCAAAAAGAGGGCATTTTGAGGGAAGCGAGAAGATTGGTGGAGTAACTCAAACCATTCCATGCTTTTCCTCATGTGGTTGCCTCAAGGAGCCCCTGAAAACACTGAGAATGTGCAGATTGGAGAGGAGATGGCACAGGAATATGGCTGCTGTCGTTAGCGACTGCGATTCTTTGTGGACTAGTACATAGAAGCTTCAGGGTAATAGGCTTTGATTCAACATCAGGACTTCCTCATAGTTAAAGCTGTCCTGGATGGATGGGGATATATGATGAAGCAGTGGGATAACAAAATGAGGAAGTAGTGGGTTCATTTATTCGCTCTTTCAACCCTTCATTTACTCTGCAAATACGTATTCATTCATGAATAGACAACATTACCAAATAGACAATGAGTTCTACAAAGCAGCTCATCACTGCACTACTTAGAGTGCTCGCGCTATACTAATGTCTGTTAACTGAAATGAAGAATACACGAATGAGCAGATGATGTCATCACTGGGCTGGGTACTAGAGCTGGCCATAGGAGCTTCATGGAGCTCACACATCTCAACAACCAAGGTAGCCAATTGAACAGCAGGGCTGCCTTGTACACAGTGCTCTGATGGATGTATGCACATGTCGCTTTGAAAGGGCAGAGGCGTGGTACTGGCAGGAAGTACTCCTGGGGCCCAGAGAAGGGCTGGAAGAGTTGGGAACTTCTTATTGGAAAAGGTGGACAATATGGAGGGGAATGGGATGAGCAGTCCCAGAGGGAGAAAGAGTGGAGCTAAGGGAAGGAGGTGAGATTGGGGGCAGGGCGGTGATGGCTTGTGCTCCTGGGTTGCTCCACAGTCTGAGGAAGTCCCACTGCTCTTCCCCCTGCACTTCCCATTCTGTCCCAAGATACATGCTGGGGAGGAGGGGGACAGCCAAGGAACTCCGGGTATACTGAGGAGGCCTTCAGCCTGGTTCATTCCCAACCTCATATGGGGAGAGTGCAACAATCTAGGGTCACCAAGGTGCCCTACCCTCCTCAGAAGAAGCCCTTTAAGCACTCCCTCCTTGGAGCATTCATGTCCTCACTCCCATCTCCTCCCTTATCTGACCTGACCTCCTTTCTCTACTGTGTGATGTGATAGATGTGGGGTGATGTAATGGAATAGACTCAGAATCATCAAAGTGTACATCATGGACCAGATTTAACCTCTTATCCACACAGTGTTCATTTACATTTTAATTAGAGAGATTATTTTATCTTCAAGGGCTTCCCGGGTGGCTCAGTAGTAAAGAACTGCCTGCAATGCAGGAGATGCAGGTTTGATCCCTGGGTTAGGAAGATCCCATGGAAAAAGAAATGGCAACCCACTCCAGTATTCTGGTCTGGAGAATTCCACGGGCAGAGAAGCCTGGCGGGCTACAGTCCATGGGATCGCTAAGAGTTGAATGCAGCTTAGCGGCTAAACAACAGCAATGACATCCTCAGGGGGAAATTCTGAACATCTCTAACAGACATGAGAGAACTTAGAGGATTTGTGATAAGGATTGACTTCTCTATCCCCCACCCTAAGAATTTTTTTTACACTGTGAGTAGTGGTGGATTGGGAACTCAATTTTGTGGGTCACAGCTAGTATTTTTAAAAGAATGAAATGTAATTGAATACAGTGGAATAAAAGAGATGAATATCAGAGTTCATAGCATGTAATAAAGGTAAGCTATGTTTAAAAAAATATTTCAGGCAAATATATATGTGAATGTAAATGATAAAAATTTTCTATTTTTGCTGTGGGTTACAGTAAAAACAAAGGTTTGAAAAATGCTGTCTTAAGTTTACCCTCCAGAAATGTACAATTTGACTTCATCTGAATGAGTTCTTGGCTTTTTCTTAGAATTGGGACAATCTTGGCTTGTTGTGGATTCTAAGCAGAATATTTTGATTTTTTTCCCTATGTCCTATATCAGAGGAGCAGAAGTCTCACAGTTTTTCCAAGTCCTCTCAGGAAATGAAATGAAATGAAATACTAACAAGTGTTTCCTGCCTACCTAAGCAAATGGTTTTTGCCTGAGATTTCCCCAGGGACCATTACAAGAGATGAAAACTTGACTCAGTGTTTCTAAGAGACTTTGAGGATTAGAATCAGTAGTGCATATCTGCCATCCACAAGAGTAAATGTGGATTTCCTACTGGACGTTTCCATTTGTTGAAGGCAAAAAACCAATGGGGTCTCTTTAAATCAAATAAGGTCACTGAATAACTAATCTTGAGGAAGAAAAGTGAGATCCACTACTAGTATCACAGAGCATTCCCCTGTTCCCCAAAGCAAAGGCAAGGTGATCTCTTGGGTCCACAGCACCAGCTGATGGGAGCAGAAGAATGCACAGAAGACTTTTAAATCATTTGTACATTTTAGGGTAAATGCACCTGAAAATAATAGGCTGTAGAATTTTTTTTTTCCAGAAAAGCTTTCTGAGCTCTGAAGAGACACATGGAAAATTCCATTTCACCAGGTTAAGACGATGACTGAAGATGCCAAGTCTACTAGGGATAAGGTGATATAGAACCCACCAGAAACTCAGAGGACACGTTTGAGAATTTCTGCTCCAGGGAAACCATCCAGAATTATAAACTGGTTGCTTATGTGATATAACTTGCCCAGAATCTGTACCACCCAGATGCAAACTCCCTCAAACAAACAAACAACGACCCCCATTAAAAACCAAAACTCACCCCAAAACAAAAACCCCAATCCTCCCACCTTCAATTCTTTGGCAAAATTGATAATGAGTAATGGTTAACAAAACATTCTTTTCCTTGGCTAGACTTCCAGAAGAGAGACTTTGTTCTCCCAGGTGACTTAAAGAGGAGTGTGCCTTTGTGTGTTTTTCAGGAGGGTTGAAGGTGGAGTGAATGTCTCTCTTGTGGTGGAATTTCCTGTTGTAGGTGGTCTTTATGGCTCAGGCTGCATCCTAACTATATTCTGATCATTTGAAAAGTGAAACTCTATTTTGTTTACCATTTCCTTTGCTGTGCAAAAGTTTTTAAGTTTAAAGCCTCATTTGTTTATCTTTATTTCTATTTTCATTACTCTAGGAGGTGACTCATATCCTTTGGAAGGACTGATGCTAAAGCTGAAACACCAATACTTTGGCCACCTGATGTGAAGAGCGGACTCATTGGAAAAGACCATGATAGTGGGAAAGATCGAAAGACAGAGGAGAAGGGGACGGCAGAGGATGAGATGGTTGGATGGTATCATCAACTCAATGGACATGAGTTTGAGCAAACTCCCAGAGATAGTGAAGGACAGGGGAGCCTGGCATGCTACAGTTCGTGGGGTCACAACGAGTCCAACATGATTTAGTGACTGAACAGCAACAACAGAAGAGGTGGGTCAAAAAAGATATTGCTGTGATTTATGTCAGAGAGTGTACTGCCTATGTTTTCCTCTAAGAGTTTTATAATATCCATCCTTACATTTAGGTCTTTAATCCATTTTGAGTTTATTTTTTGTGTATGGTGTTAGGGAGTGTTTTTATTTCATTCTTTTAAATATAGCTGTCCAGTTTCCCCAGCACAACTTGTTGAAGAGACTATCTTTTCTCCACTGCATACTCTCGCCTCTGTTGTCATAGAATAGCCGACCACAGGTGTGTGGGTTTATCTCTGGACTTTCTGTCCTGTTTCATTGATCTATATTTTGGTTTTGGTGCCAATACCATACTGTTTTGATTACTGGAGCTTTGTAGTACAGCCTGAAGTTCAGGCCCTTGATTCCTCCATCTCCATTTTTCTTTCTCAAGATTGCTTTGGCTATTTGAGGTCTTCTATGTCTGTGTTAGTTGCTCAGTCATGTCCAACTCTTTGTGACCCCATGGACTGTGGCCCGCCAGGCTCCTCTGTCCATGGGATTTTCTACCAAGAATACTGGAGTGGGTTGCCATTCCTTTCTCCAGGGGAATCTTCTCAACCTAGGGATCAAACCCGGGTCTCCTGCATCGTAGGCAGATTCTTCACCATCTGAGCCACTAGGGAAGCCTTAGTAAAAGAGGTCTTTTATGTTTCCATACAAATTACAATTTGTTTTGTTCTAGTTCCATGAAAAATGCCATTGGTAATTTGATAGGGATTGCACTGAGTCTAGATTTCTTTGAATAGTATGGTCATTTTGACAATATTGATTCTGCAATCCAAGAATGTGGTATATCTCTCCATTTGTTTGTGTCATCTTTGATTTCTTTCATCAGCATCTAATAC